AAAACCAAACACTGCATGTTCTCACTCATAGGTGGGAATTGAACAATGAGATCACTTGGACACAGGAAGGGGAACATCACACACCAGGGCCTATTGTGGGGAGAGGGGAGGGGGGAGGGATAGCATTAGGAGATATACCTAATGCAAATGATGAGTTAATGGGTGCAGCACACCAACATGGCACATGTATACATATGTAACAAACCTGCACGTTGTGCACATGTACCCTAGAACTTGAAGTATAATAATAAAATTAAAAAAAACAAAGCAAAACAATAAAAAAACAAGAAAGGGTCATCAAGCAAAACAATAAAAAATAAATTAAAAAACTTGCAATGAGGGGCAACAGGTATTCGCATCTATTTCTGGTGGATAAATTAGTAATCCTTTTTTTTGAGAAAAATTTGCACAAGCTCTTTTATCCAGCAATTCCTAGGTATTTTCCCACATGCATTTGTACAAGGTCATTCATTGTAGCATCCTCTGCGATAAGATGTGATCAGAAGTGATTGAAATTCTCATGGTTAGATGGATTCTGTCATATCCATGAAACAGAGATGAATACTACCACAGACAGAATATGGCTATATTCTGATGAAATGAAAAGTCCTTCAAGATGTACTTTTAAGGGAAAAAAACAAGATGTAGAGCATTTGGTATAAAATGCTGCCAATGGAAAGAAAAGATGCATTTGGGTATGTTTGTACACAACAGACCACTTCTGGAAAGGTAAACAAGAAAGGAATAACGGTGGCTGCTTCATAGGAGTTGTGTTGGGGGCTGAAGAGGGTAGGATAATATATGGCATAGGCATATATTACTTATTTTTACAGTTATACAATTAAAAACAAATATAAGTAAATTTAAAAATGGGACAATACATGAAAAAAAGTTTTAAAATTTGTTTTTCCTCCTGGAAAAAATGGCTTGCTACAGAAAATATTATATTCAAACAAACTTCACTACAAATCACTACAAACCACTAAGCAATCTCTGATCAGCAGAGCAAACGAGGGCACTTTTGAGGAAACAAGTGGTCACCTGGTTAAGTATGAGATTAAGTACCACTTTCTCCCACTCCCCTCAAAGTTGCCCTCATGCCTCCCTCTGCCCCTCTGGGGCTGCCTGGCTGGGGTCCTAATTTCCCAAGGCAATGGCATGTGAACTTGAGGAAAATTATTAGAGTGTGTGCCATATGCAGACTGATAGGTCTTCCTGCCCTCTCAACCAAATGCACAAACACTCTTAAGCCCAATATTCCAGTAAATTTTTTTTTTTTAAAGTTTTGGACTTTGATTTCTGTTAAAATGCAGAGCATCCCAGGCAAGTTAATAGCACTGTTCTTAGCTATTCATAGTGAGAGGAATGATGATTTTACCATCCTTTTTTTGAAAAATGAGCTTTGATTGAGAAAAATCAGTGGGGCTGGCTTTGGGCTCTAGAGGAGGTAAGACAGGATAGAGTGGAGAAGACAGAGGATGGGGAAAGGAGAAGAGAACTTGAAGATTGGAAGCTCCAAGATAAACTTCCACATTTTACCTAAGGCCTGTTCTCAAAATAAATAAAACAAGACTTTCTGGAATGTTTTATTAGGTGTGGAAAGCAGAAGAGAAGAAAATATATCAAGAAAAAACTGTAATTTTATGTAAAATTATGCTGAACTTTTTTATCTTATCAAAAGTCCTAAGTTGGCTCATAATGAATTCTTACTAAGTGATAGCTATTTTTACTGTGATGCTGGTCCACCAGTATGGGGCGGGGGAAAGGACAGGTGGGTGGTGAGTCTATTTTCAGTCTGCCCTCCTCTTTCTCATCAAAGGAAAGACGAGAACTTTGAGAGGCTGAGGCAACCAGGAAAGGTGCAAGGAGGTGGCCAGAACAGTCAGTGCTGCTGAACGCGAATTAGTCCACTACCCAGACGATGTGAAAAGCTGGCTTGGGAGGGGATGCAGGATGCCCTGGCAGCAATGGGAGAAATGTTAAAATGATTATGTGGCACTAACTGAATGACTCTTCCCAATAAGCAGACCCAGAACATCTTTCTTACTTCTGTGAACAACCAGGGACAGTTAGAGGCTGTTCACACAGCACCCTATAACCTTCAGGGAAATCGGGGAAGTAGAACTACTTGCATGAGGGTTAATGATTCACGTTTCCCTGGTGAATACTTTCTCTCCCCTCCATTCTCCCAACATGAAGTGGTCTCTGGAGAAAGACAGACAGACATTAAAGCTCTCTTTAATGAGAGCTTATTAAATGCCAGGCATTGTGTCAGCCCTTTACTAGCTCACATATTCCTTACAACTCTAATAGGCAGGAACCAACATTCTTAGTGCTCTAATAAGGATAGCTAAGAACAGAGAAGCTCAGCTGCTTTCCTGAGGCCAGGCAGTCGGTAAGTGGCTGGTCAGGAGGCAACACTCAGGACTGTGTCCCCAGCACTGTTCTGTAGACTGTTAAGCACTGTGAGGGCAGGACCCGTGCCTGCTCTTTCCTTGTGCCGTGCTGAGTACACTGCCCAACAAACAAAGGTGATGGGAGGTTTGCAGAATGTAAACGGGAATGCGGCTGGGAATGCGAGAATGAAGGCAGAAATGCCGGAATAAAGGTCGGACTGGGGTAGAGAAAGCAGGCGGGGATTCGGAAACGCGGGTGGGAATTAGAGCAGGGATGTGGGAACGCGGAAACGCAGGTGGGAACGATGGGGAGAAAGTGGCGATGCTGGGGGATGCAGTTGGGAATGCAGGAATGAGGGTGGAAATGGGGGAATGCAGGCTGGAAAAGAGTGGAGAATACAGGAACGCAGAGACGGATGCTGCGGAAATGCGGGACGACCCCAAGCCACCCGCTCACCTGTGAAGAAGGGCATGAAAGCGAGGCTGCAGGCCAAGAGGAGCCGGCCTGCGGCCGAGGGGCGCATGGCTGAGGCTGCGGCCGGCCCCGTCGCTCTCTCGGGAAGGGAGCAGCCAGTGAGCTCCGTTCCCCGCAGGGGACACGCCCAGGCCGCGGGCCGCCTCCCGCCACGCCAATGGCCTTTCCGCCGCCGGGTGCGAGCGCCCCTCACAGAGCCCCGGCTGCTGGGTGGGCCGCGCTGGGAACTCGGCCTCTGGAGGCGCCTGGGACTCGGAAGCACGGCCTAGCCGAGACTCGTCGGCCCAGGGAGCCTCTGGCCTGTCCGCTCCTTTCCACAGGCGCTGGGGGCCGGCGGGAGGCGCTGCACGGGCAGCTGCGGCCTCTGGGCGAGGTGACTTGGTGAACAGGTACCTGACGCCGGGCGGCCCGGATGGGCTAGGCCGGACGGCACTGCGCATGCGCTGGCCTCTGCCGTCGCTTTGGCCTGCCCCATTGGTCCTCACTTCCCGCTCTTCCCGCTCTTCCCGCCCTCTGGGAGGCTTGGCCAATGAGATCCCGGTGGCTCCCGGCTCACGTGACTGGAGAAAGCCTGGTGGGCTATTTCCACAGTTCTGAGGATGGGGAAAACTTGGAGGAGCTGGAATGTCTGTTTTTCCAGTTCTTTGGTTCTCACCCCCCGAATTAAAGACATGCTACTGTGGCTGACCCTCTTCCCTACCTAGTCTAAGCGTTTTTGAGGAAAGGGTACCTATATATTTAATCCTCTGACCAGGAACATCCTACCCTACCAATACCCTCCAAGTCGTCAACGCATCTAGTGCAATTCTGGCACCTCTGAAGATTTTCTAACACACCCACACCTCCTTGAGACTGAACACTTTGAAAGGACAGGGACTGTGTATATATGCATGATCCGCATACTTCCAGTCCTTAGCACTGTGCCTGGGACATAAATGCATTGTTAGTGTGTGTTGAATGAACACACACTTAGGTAGAAGATTCCCTTCTCCCTGTAAGCAAAAGAGTGTTAGAATTTTTCCTGTTACCCAACTGCTGTTTTGATGGCTTGCTTTTCCGGCAGCTGCAGAAGCTCTAATTCTTTGTGGAAACAACCTAAATGTCCATCAATGGATGAATGGATAAAGAAAATGTGCCATCTACCTATGATGATGTGACACCTACCTTAGCCTTAAAAAGGAGATCTTGTGACAAGCTACAACATGAAGGCATCTTGAGCACATTATGCTAAGTGAAATAAGCCAGTCACAAAAAGACAATTACTGCATGATTCCATTTACATAGGTATCTAAAGTAGGCAAACTCTTAAAAACAGAAAGTAGAATGGTGACTTCCAGGAGCTGGGGAAGGTGAAGGGCAGTTATTGTTCAGTGGGTGTAGAGGTTCAGTTTTGCAAGATGAAAAAGTTCCAGGGATCTGTAGCACAACAAGGTGCATGTAGTTGGTAGCACAGCACACTTAAAAATGATTAAGATGGTAAATGTTATGGAATGCGTTTTTTTACGCAATAAACAATAATTTAAAGGAAAAACCTACTCGTTTAACATTTACATCACAACCTTCATTCTTTGTGGCAGATTCACCAGCCACTAAGTTGCTTTGACCATTCATCCAGTGTTTTGACCCGTGATTGATAAACATCCCCTAAAGCACTTTGCAACAGAACTTGCTGCAATGATGAAAATGCTCTATATCTATGCTAATACAGTAAGTACTGTGGTGGGTCGAATGGTGGCCCCACATATTTGTCCACATTCGAATCCCCAGAACTTGTGAATATTACTTTATATGGAAAAATGTGTGAATAAGTTAAGAATCTTGAGGGAGAACTTATCCTGGATTATATAGGTGGGACCCTAAATGCAATCACATTTATCTTTATAAGAGAAGCAGAGGAAGTGTTTTTGAGACCGAGGAGAAGACACAGAGAAACAGAGGCCATGTGACCATGGAGACAGAGATTGGAGTGATGAGACCCACAAGCCAAGGAATGCTGACAGACACTAGCAGTGGGAAGAGGCAAGGAACGGAGTCTCCCCAAGTCTCTGGCAGAAGCGTGACCCTGCCAACAACTGATTTCAGAATTCTGGCTTCCATAACTTTGTGAAAATAAATTTCTGTTTTTTTCGGCCACTTAGTCTGTGGTAATTTGTTACATCAGCCCTAGAAAATTAATAGAAGTAACACATTTGGCTCTTGAGGTGACTGTACACTTGAAATGTGGCCAGTAAGGCTGATAAATGGAATTTTAAATTCTATTTGATTTTAGTTAATTTAAACTATAAATCATCTTGAGTTGCTCTCTTCTGCCCTTTAGCCGCATTCCACTTCCACACAGTCACACAGTGAAATTTCTTTTCTTTTTTCTTTTTTTTTTATTATACTTTAAGTTCTAGGGTACATGTGCACAACGTGCAGGTTTGTTACATATGTATACTTGTGCCATGTTGGTGTGCTGCACCCATTAACTCGCCATTTACATTAGGTATATCTCTTAATGCTATCCCTCCCCCCTCCCCACAATAGGCCCCGGTGTGTGATGTTCCCCTTCCTGTGTCCAAGTGATCTCATTGTTCAATTCCCACCTATGAGTGAGAACATGCAGTGTTTGGTTTTCTGTTCTTGTGATAGTTTGCTGAGAATGATGGTCTCCAACTGCATCCATGTCCCTACAAAAGACACGAACTCATCCTTTTTTATGGCTGCATAGTATTCCATGGTGTATATGTGCCACATTTTCTTAATCCAGTCTGTCACTGATGGACATTTGGGTTGCTTCCAAGTCTTTGCTATTGTGAATAGTGCCGCAATAAACATACGTGTGCATGTGTCTTTATAGCAGCATGATTTATAATCCTTTGGGTACATACCCAGTAATGGGATGGCTGGGTCATGTGGTACTTCTAGTTCTAGATCCTTGAGGAATTGCCATACACACAGTGCAATTTCTAAATCTCTGAACACCTGTCCTGGAACTGAATATGACATTACTCAGGCTCTAACTCCCAATCCAGTTGTCTCCAACATTCCTAACCCCTACTCCCATGGCAGCCTGTTATAGTCTATGATGTCTCAACTGTTTTTCATCAATTCTCCCAGAGAAGTTTTTAAAATATATTCTTTTCCCAGTTGACCTCTCCTCCATTAAATTGTAACACTGCTGATAAACTGTTTATTTGTTTGTACATTGTGATCTCTCAGAGGACCACAAACCATTGTAATACCTAAGATTTCTCCCTACCTCTCCCTGCCAAAAAACTCCAATTTTTGCCCTTTTAGGGATGATATTGTCCCCATTGAGAATGCATGCCCTAACCCAGTGATTCTCAACAGGAGATGATATTGTACTCTGGGCTACATTTGGCAATATATTGAGGCATTTCTGGTTATCACACTGGAAGAGGAAGTGGTGTGCTACTGACGACTAGTGGGTAAAGGCCAGCAATGCCGCTAAACGTCTTACAATGCAACCTTCCCTCAACCACAACAAAGAATTATTTAGCATAAAATGTCAATTGTGCTGAGGCTGAGAAACCCTGTGTTAGCCTAGGCAACTAAAGGCCATCAAGGACAAATCTGTAGTTTGATATATCAAAATTTCTCATTTTGTGGAACTGTGGGGCATCACACCAAGGACTTAGAAGATTTAGGGGAAAGGTAAATCATAGATTCTCCTACTCTTCTCAGGAGAAACTTAAATGAAACTCAAAGCAAAGCACAGATGTATGCAAATAAAACCATGTCGAGTGTGAACTGTCAGGTACAGTTTCCTAGTGAAAAAGTTTAGACACAAATGTTCCTGGGAACTCCTTGTCTGTACCTCTGCTCCTGGGTTGGAAAGCAAGGCTGCTTTTCTGACAACGTGTCTGATTCTCTAGGCAGGTTCACAGTGAGTAAGAAAGCAGTAGTCAAAGAAGGGGACAATTAAGACATTTTACAACTCAAGGCTGCTCTTGGGAGAAACACTGTTTCTGTTAACTCTGCAAGGAGAGTTATATGGTATCTGTTCTCCCAGCTTGACCAATGTCAGGAAAGATTTTAAACTCGATTAGAGCTCATATTTAAAGCTTCATCAATAACTCAACTTGTTTGAACCTTTTTATAACTTCCACTGAGTAGTCCTTTTTTTTTTTCTTTTTTTTTTTGAGACAGAGTCTTGCTCTGTCGCCCAGGCTGGAGTGCAGTGGAGCAATCTCGGCTCACTGCAAGCTCTGCCTCCCGGGTTCACACCATTCTCCTGCCTCAGCCTCCTGAGTAGCTGGGACTACAGGCGCCCACCACCATGCCAGGCTAATTTTTTTGTGTTTTTTTTTTTTTTTGGTAGAAATGGGGTTTCACCGTGTTAGCCAGGATGGTCTCGATCTTGTGACCTCGTGATCCTCCCAAAGTGCTGGGATTACAGGCGTGAGCCACCGCGCCTGTCCTTTCACTGAGTAGTCCTTTTATTGTCTCCAATGATTGCTGATCTGGTCTAGACTCCAGTTACTATCCCGTGTACCCTTGCTGCTTTAGTGTTCTTCTCCTGTCAAATGACTTGAAAACATTTGACTCTGGAGCCATACAGACATTCAAACAGAATTGACAAAATAAAACAGACAAAAATCATGCAAGCAAGCAGGGAAAAAAATATCTCACCCGTGTAGCTACATGCTACAACAAATTTATGCTTGTTACCCTCATTTGAGCTCCAAGTTAGCTCAGCAATCTTTTTACTCCTCTTCCTCTATTCCCTTCTGAGAGACTTCTCTGCCCAAAAGACACAGCCACCTGCTATGAGATGCACACACTCATTCACTTATTCTATTCAGTCTCCAAGTATTTGTTAACGTCTTACTATGTGTCAAATCCTCTGGCAGAGTGCAGAAATGAAAAGCACACAGTTTCCGCCCTCAAACAGTCCAGTGTGAGAGAGAGATTTATTAGTAAACTAACAATTACTATATAGCAACACATGTTTGTAAATGTCTGGGTGATCTAGGTGGCTCCTGGCTTCGATTACCAATGATAGAGTATGCATCAGGCAGGACGAGTCTGGGTTTGTTGTAGTAACAAACCTCATTCTCTCTGTTGCCAGAAGGTGGCAGAAGCTCTGGTCCAATCAGAAACCAAGGCTGCTAGAAGCTCTAATCTCAACAAGAGCTTCCCTTGCCATCGTATCGGGGAAGAGGATGTGGCAAATCATGTACTGGTGATTCAGTGTTCCTCAGGTCACATTCCACTGAGTGGTTGAAACAGCTGTGCTGACTATGCCTAACTTCAAAGGGATGGGGCAGAGTGATCCTACCGTGTGCCTTGAAGGAGAAGAATATTTGTGTAGAGACCTAAGGACTAACACACACTAATATCTGGTAACATCAGTAATGATTTGAACTCTGAGATCCCTTTGTTTCCTCCCTCTAGAAAGAAAGGAGAGTTTTAAACTTTGTTTAAAAAGAAAATAAAAATGAGGATAAATAAACTGATAAGCAAAAAAATAGTGTACCACTTTACAAGGAAGAAAATATAAAATATTTAAGGTAAATATCTTACTGGACTATCGATAATCTAGACCAGTGCTGTCCAATAGAAATTCGATGTAAGCCAAATTTGTATT